GAGCCAACAATTTAATGAACCTAGAGATTTGATGAAATGATAACAATTCCTCGGAGCACAGAGATTTTTAACAAATAATCCTTCTGGGAAAAAAAAACCACATGCATTGCTCAAGAGGCAGGAGTTGTAGAAACTTCATCTCGTTACTAGAACTTTGTAGTTACATGAAATCATTTAGATTTCAAAGAAACAATAAAAAGTGTAATTAGTAAATAAGTGCAAGTTTAGATCAGCAAGATGTGTTCTTTTAGTGACACACCACTGAGAGTTTGAATTAGAGTACAAATATATAAATCTACAAAATGGCCACAAAATTAGTGCATTTCTATAAGTAACCCAATAGTGGGGGGGGGGAGCTGAAGAGGGGAGGGTTAAGACATGAACTTGCAGTATAATTTAAATTTGGAAAGAGAAAGCAATTAAGCTCTTCAACTTAGAAGGTTATAACTATGGTACATGAGAGACAACAAGCTATTACAGACATTTCAATAATTAAACATTAATAAGTAGTGATGTTAATAGTATTGCAACTTTCATTCAGGGACTTCAAAGCACTTTATAAATTTACAAGGTCAAATGCCGCTCACAGATATGCAATTCTGCCAGCTCCCACTGGAGTTGTGTCCATGTATCTAAGGTCCGAATTTGATCACAAAAAGTACGGTACATACATAATATTTTCAATATATATGTTAAACTGAGGCACCAAAAGGGTCAGTAAGTTACCTAAAGTCATACAGTGAGTCATTGGGAGAGCTAGGAATAGAACTCGGGTGTCCTAATTCTCAGTCCCAGCTCCCTTGCTCCAGGTACTAGATATCACTTCATTATCTTTAGTTTTAACTTTAAGCGAAGAAGTCCCATTGAAGAAAATGCTTATTCTCAATACTACTCACATGCTTATAGTTAAAAACTCATGTTTAAATGCTTTGCTGGATTGGGGAACTAATGTTTTGGAATGTAAAGGGTATAAGATGTGAAAAATGAATATATGAAGAATTTTTTTCAAGCTTTTTTAAAATATCAGAGCAACAAGCTGAAATTCTTACTGACTAGGTAAAGATTTTGAGAGAAGTATGGCAATGTATTAATTGCCTCACTGTAATTCAGCTAACCTATTTTGTCCAATTCAAGATTAGTTAATTTGGACTTCTCATCATTGAGTGACATGACAGGATAAGATCATGTTATATGATGAACCTAGACAAGTGATTTGAAGGGAAACTGAGTGACAGTGACCTGCCAAGCCATTAATTGGTGCTATAGCTGAAAAAAGGAGATTGTCTAGTGTTTTAATTTGCTCACTGAACTAAAATACCAAAGCAGGAATCCCTTAGAGAAAAACTCACTGTCCCCACGAAGTCCACTGTTGTAAGATCTGAGATGTTGTAATATGTTTCACAAGATTTAATCAGAAAAATTGCAAGTAATCACTTAAGATTTCTTATTATTTTCTTTTTAGTACTTGAATACAAGGATAAATACGTAAATTATGATAACTTCAACATCTCAGATACTTAAGATGTTACATTTTATAGTAAAATAATACATTTTGAGGAGACACTAGTTTGATAAGTTCTACTGTGAGCTGTCCTTTCAGCACCACAATGATGCAAGTCTAGCTATAACCACACAAAAGAGCTATTTCTAAATCCTTGACTATGACTAATAGTTAAGTAGTTGATTAAACAACTCAAAAGTTAGGGTAATGCATTCATTTTCAGTATCTAAAATTCATAATAGATTAAGGATGCAAAATCAAAATTATTCAAATTCAGATTATGCACATGTATGTACATGTAATAAAGTACTTTACAATGGATTGAAAATATTGATGGTATTATTAAACTTTCTGCTTATATGGCAGTGAAAACAGATTCTCTTTTACAAAAATACAAGTGTTAAATTGGTATTCAGGTGCTTGAAGTTGCTGGCACATGAAACTGTAAGTCATAAAGACAGTCAGTTCTACTGCAAAAACTAAGAGTTCTTACAATTTGTTTGTGCACGCAAAATAAGTTTGTTTTGTGCAAGTCAGCTAATTAAACAAACGTTATAGAGAGAGGGCACTGTTTAAATAGATAGTACATGTTGCTCAGCATTTTCACTCAAAACATTACATTTCTCTGTGTTGAAATGTTTCCTCTCTTATAAGCACTGTAAAGAAAGGTCTGCAGCAGAATGTCTGATGCACTGCAGTGCCTCAGCTTAAATGTGCTAGGGAATAGGAGCAGATGCAGGAATGATACCTAGAGAGCAAAACTAAATCAAAATCTACTCTGCTTTTTTAGCTTGGCTAGGCCCACACTTGACAAGAGAAAGATGAAAAGTCCAGGCTTAATGCCAAGACTAAATATGTGTAAGACTCTAGGCTGACTTTTAAAAATGGTCCAGAAGTTACTGTCCACTTGTTTTATTGAATGTTTATGTTGAGCAGCACCCTTGTGAAATTTAAAGATGTGAAAAATAACAGCTAAAGAGAACTTATATTTGCCCCCTTTTGATATTACAAAGGAAATATATATACTGGAAATATCATAACTCCCTCTTGTGGTGATAATTTTAGCCTTCTATAGGAAACAACAGGACAGAAAGGGTTGATTTTACCCGGGTGTGCTCAGGAAAACTGCAGACATCTGAAATCTGATATGTGATGATAAAAGCCCATCAAGGCTACCTTGGAAAAGGTTGCAAATCCACTGTAGATTTTTTATGGCAATCCAACCTGAAGGATATTTGCTTATTTTGGAACAAATCCTCAAGGGTATCAGAGCAGCATAACATTCACCTGTGGGGGAACAGTGATATGAAGATGGGTAGCTTTCCATCAGCTCCCCTCCAATTCTGGTGGCTGGAAGTCACTTCAGCCCAAGCACAAATCAGAGCAGCTTCAGGACTATCCGATTTCCAGCAGCAGTAAAAGCTGCTAGGGGCCATTCTGCTTGCCTCTGATTATAATAATATATGGAGATATACCTATCTCATAGAACTGGAAGGGACCCTGAAAGGTCATTGAGTCCAGCCCCCTGCCTTCACTAGCAGGACCAAGTATTGATTTTGCCCCAGATCCCTAAGTAGCCCCCTCAAGGATTGAACTCACAATCCTGGGTTTAGCAGGCCAATGCTCAAACCACTGAGCTATCCCAGGAGCTGGTGACATATTGCCAGCCACCCCAGCTTTGTCACCTCGGTTTCCTCTGTGCAAGGTAAATCCTCAGCTACCTCGTTAAGCGGTTTTTGCCCCAGGGTACCACTACAGCAGCATGAAGAGGACAATAAGACTGAGTATCTGATCTTTTAGCAGTCAGGAAAAGAAAGCCATTGTGAACCCACAAGAAGTTGGTTTTGCCAAAGATTACTGTGATTTAAAATAAGTTGATTATGGAAAGAGACTGATGCATAAAGAGTGAAAATGCTCATGTGTATAGGTAGCAATGACAGCAATATTTCATCCTTGGCTCTTCAGCTTTCAGTCCAGAAGGACATATGTGCATATGCAAAACATGTGTACAGATGTTGGATACCTTAATTTAAAACCATGTTACTGGAGACTTTGAGGATGGTGACAGGCTCTGTTAAGCAGGTTCTTTGACAAAATTTCTCCAGTGGCACAGCCATCATGAATTCTTCTAATTTATGAGCAGCACAATGAATGCAGTATGTGGTGGATCCAACTATAGTCTCAACTGTCCATGTACTACACAACTGGGCTTGCATCACATTGCCATAAGCCCCAAGTGTTTCCACTGCAGATACACCACCATGAGAGCTGAAGAAGCAGGAAAGCTCGTTTTCCTCTTCTAGTCTATGAATAAAAACTAGGTGTGAGAGAATAAGATATATTAGTTCTACAATCTTGAAGGACATGGTGACCAAAAACTATCAGTTCAATTCATGAATCACAGATAATACTTAATTTGTTTAATAAATCATTCAGTTTTAAATGGAAAGAATGTTTTGATAAACTTTTTTTCTCTCAAAACGTTTATGTATCCAGCACTTAAGGGTGTTTTATTTAATAACAAAAGAATTAAGTGCTGTTTTGTGCATGTTTTTAACTGAATTTGAACTTTCATACAAATAAAACTTGACACAAATCACAAGAAAAAAAATCAGTCATCATCTAGTAATAAGAAATGCATCATTCGTTATTTTCTATGTAATAAAAATGTAAAAATTAAGTATCTGAATAAAAGTAAATTAATATATACAATTGTTTAAATAAATATGTATATATATAGCATATTATCCTGGTTAGCAAAAGGAATTACCAAATGTAGTGTAAAGCCTATATTTTATTACAAAACATATATTTTTCATGGTTACCAACTAATGAGAATCACTTTCTCTTAAGGAAAATAACTAAAAAGTACAAATACAAAATACAATAAAAATTAATTATTTAAATCAAGGTTTCCTTGCTTGCTCCTTTAAATCATGATTAAAAGGTGATTTAAATCAATCCATCATGGCAATAAGTACTGCTGTGTATGCATGACAGGTTTTAAATAATTGTTTCACTACCAGAGTCTTATTTGTATATCATTACACAGACCAGAGAAACCAAAAGATGGGTTAATAAAAATTCTAATCTTTGTATTATTTCAAAACCACCTGTACACCTCTTTTGATCATTACATATATGGACATCTAATTTAACATAAAGCTTTCTTTAACATGAATTCTATGAATCTGCATTTGTGATGTCAATAACTAATAGTCATAAACCATGAGATGACACCAGGTTTGTGTACTCAGAACAACAGTAAATTTTGGTCTAAAATTAGTGATCTAAATTATACACAAATACAGTTGAGGGACAGGCTCTTGAACGAATGTCAGATTGAATGCAATCTGAATCCTAATCTGATAATCAGATTACTCCTTTGATAAAGCTTTTGATAACAAGTATAGGTAAAAATAATGTTAGAAAATATTTGTTTTAGACAATTTGTAGAGACAATATTTTGGTTGTGACTGATATGCTTTGGTCAGTACAAATTAAAAGCACTAATTGGACTCACACTGAATTTCTTAATACAAATTTAAACAAATTGTTCTGAAGAACATTATATAGGTTTCAACGTCTATTCACTTGTTTCAATAAAATACATTGTTTTTTGTGTATACCTATTGGTTTGGTTGAAGATATATAATTGAAAAAGAACAGGCATAAGAAAGTGTGTCAGTATGAATTAAAATGCATTGAGTGACAGAAAAATACTGAGCTTAGCTGGGAACCTGAAAACCATTGACAGTACACCCTCATGCCCTCCTGTAACTCAAAATTTTAAAGATGAAAATGCTTTAAGACATCTAATGCATGAAAAATGAAATTACTTCAAAGAAAGAAGAGGCAGTGGGGGTGGGGAGAATCATTGGAAATTGTCCTGGGAAAGCATAGTGCCGATTGTGGTATGTATAGTTATTATAATTAAGGGAAGTGGGAAAAAAAAGTCAACTCTGCTCAATGTAATGAATAGAAAATCTGTATCTGAAAAGCTATTCACTGACTTCTCTGCATTTTTTTTTAAATAAGTGGGACAAATTTCTATAATTTTCCAAAATTGTTTCCCCTCCCAACATTCTATCATCCTACTTCTAAAAGTAGCCAAGATTTGCTGCATATGATTTTCTCTGCAGTAAAAAATAATGAGGCATAACAATGTATCCCCCAAGGGTGGTTACCTCCAGGGTTTCTAAAGACATGAAGTAAGCAAGACAACTGTTCCTAACTTGACGCATGGTTCAAAACAGATAGCAACACTCCATATATGTTCAGCAGCAGGAATAGAATAATAGACCCCGTCTAACTTCTCTAGTTGCTAGTGGTGTGTGGGTGCAGAATTCTTCCATGTTGAAGTCATCATCTGCAAAAGCAGACAGCAAGAGAAACTATGCTACTAGCAAAATACTGTGCATCTGGGATTTACAAAATGTATGTATCCATTAAGTATCTTCTGATTGTGGGGTGCATACTTGGTAATAAGTTCACAGCCAAAATTTCAAATCATATCTCAATTATAAGTAAAAAGGCAGCAGCCTATATCACTCAGGTGCTTTAATAGTACTGATAGCCCATGGCACATCTAGTAGCCACTGCTGTGGACATCACAACATGGCAATCTTTCTCCAAAATTCCTTCTACAGTGTTATACCATGCTAACAATCCAGGGAGAAAGTGGAGTATTTTATGTCAGTGGCCTATTAATAGAATATTGTCTGTGAAATTGCTTCCCTGCCCTACCTATTGCTACCCTGTCCCAAGCCTATTGTTTAGAACAGTATATTAATGAGAGAAACTTTACGGACAATCGTTATTATTTTTTGCTAACAAAAACTCAGTGATACCATGCAGGTTAATTCCTTCCTGATCATCTACTAATATGGCAGAGAGGAATCAACAACAATTGTACCAATGGCAATTAATTGCACTTTAATTATTAAAATGAGCTGCTTGATTTGGTGCACAACATATACCTTAACAGGATTTACATTTCCACTTTGCTGAAGTTTGATATCAGCTCACAAGCAGAGGGAGTCAACAAGCTAGTTAATGAGGTGTTGGCATCTGAAGCCATTTCCCATGATGAAGGAACTCTGCTCACATACAGAGGTATTGGCACTTGAAGTTATTTCTCTTCATGTGGTAACACAGTATCAAATAATTAAGGGAATTTCTATATCCAGGTCTGTCAAATAGAGCCCAAGCAAGCAGAGATCTCAGTCTTGATGTAGTCAAATAAATACCAATTCCTGCAAGAACATTCAGGATTTGGTGGTTTTGAGGCTGCTATTCTGAGTAGCACAGCTTGGTTGAAATCTTGGACATTGTAGGAGTTAGATGGCTAATCCAAGAGACATCTTGCGAAGGTCATGGTTGATATAAACTAACCATCAATGTCCAATCAAATGAAAATTTTCATTAGTGTCAACACAAATAAAAAGTCTCTGCATAGTGAAGTTTACTTGAAATGACTCTCAAAACTAGCCTTCAAATTGAGCTGCTCTTTGTAATTTGATTATCTTCCCACATAAACCCATTCATAACCTCCAAAGAGCCCTTATTTCTTTCATATCTTTCAGAGAGTTTGTGAACAATGTCAGGAGAGAACTATTGGATGGAGATTTGTTTGACTCTGGAGAAGCTATTCCAAACAAGGCATATCCCCTAAAGATCCGTAAAGGTAAAGATAGAGATCTAGGGGGGCACATCAAATCCATACATCAAATTTGTAATAGTAACACATAATTAAAAGCCTTCAGAAAGATCGTTAAAAGTAACCTTGCACATGAAATTTCTAATTAATTGATAGGTGACAAAGTGGTGTTTGAACAACACAGATAAGTTCCCAAGAAAGAGCACAGGAACAGCATCCAACTTGGCCACCACTAGAAAGGAAGGAAACTATTCTGAGCGCTGCATCTCACAAAGGAACCATTCTGAAAAATGTAGAAAAACCTCTGCTAGTATGTATTACTTTCACCTTCAGTAATCAGAACAGTAAGCAGTTTGTCACAAGTGTGAGAAATACATGCTCTGTCTACTAATATGCCTAGAGTACAGTTTCTTGTATTAATATTTTATCTTCACCTCTGCAGGTGAAACCATCTGGGAGATGTTTCTTCCACAGTGAAGAAGATCAAGTCATGACCCCTACACTGAAGCTGGAAATATCATTAGAAGTTAATCTGCCAGTCCCGTTTATGGAGCTTGATTCATCTCAGGAACCCTTGGTGCATGTGGCAGCTGTTGAGTTCATCTCAATGGCAATGCTGATCAAAGAGCCTTTTGACTCAAGAAAGAACAGTTAGTTAGGTATATGTGCCAGGTGTAACTGTGCACTCTTTGAACTTGCAGACTGATATAGGCTCCATGTCATGTAATGGCAGCTGTAAATGAACCCAGCTTGCTGAAGTGATGGCAGAAGGTTTGCTGAGCAGCATATCTATCATGGCAGCACCTAGTAAAAATTTAGAGTTCTCCATCCGAGGCCTTTTCAAGGCAATTATACCAATAGGTCAAGGTGATACTAGAGGTGTAAACAAATGTTATGTCAGCTTCCAATGATCTCACAGAGATATTTGCCCTAACAATTGAAGTGCGCTATCACTGAGGATGTTGCTGATGTACCAGTATCGCCATTGCCTATAGACAGGAGCACAATCCAGTGGATGCTGATTAATCTGCAAGGTATGGATTAGTGACTACTAGCCCCAGTGGTGCAAACACTGGAGACTACAACCTGACAAATATTTCATGGAATCCCCTCAGTGTAGTTTGCAAGCAGCACCTCTGATACCAAAGAAATTCTTAACCACCATTTTGTGTCTCTGGCTTCTCTCTTGAATAAGCAGGAGTCACTTCACCAACTGAAAGCTGCAGGTCATTTGCCAATGGATGATATAGGTCACATGATCAGAGCGGAGAAATCTCTGGGCTGAACATGCCCAACAGTGAAAATAACATAAAATAAGGTATGGCCATGAAAGGGTCCAAATCTGGAGTATGAGCTGTAGGGACAGACAAAGGAATCATGGCTCTGAGGTCAACAACGGCAATGAGCATGTACATGGATACCAGTAGGTAGCTACTGAGCATATGCAGTATGGGGTGAGAGAAAGATCAGCTAGCTGACTTGCTGGCTGGCCACAGCTCATCCATACTGGTTACAACTTGTTCTAAAGGTCAGAGTGGTCAGTCATAATTCTGAGGTAATGGCTGTTACTGAGCATGTGTGAATGAGGTAATTGCTTAAGGGTATATAAGGAAGTCCCAATAGGACAGTATAAAGGTCAGCTGCCAACAGGCAGAAGTCAGTCAAGAGCCAGAAAAAGAGCTGCTGGAAGAACTGCTGGGGAGAGATCGGAAGGCTGGCTAAGAGGACAGAAGAGCTCCGAAGAGTTCTCAGAAAGACTCCGAAGAAAGTGCTGCTGAAGAAAGCAGCTACAGCAGCTTCAGACAAAGTAATATCCACAGCAGCCACAACAGTTGCAACAATTGAAACAAAAGGATAGAGCAAGAGAAACTGCCAGAAGTGAGCTGCCACAGTAACAGCAAACAGAGAAAGGGAGCAGACTGGGAACGAAAAGCTACCGTAGCAGCAGCAAACCGCAACATTTGTAAAAAGTCCCTGAATCAATGGATAGCATGAGCGTGTCAGTTTTTAAACTATACGTTTACTGTCTACTATTGTATAGTACAATAGATATGTGTATGTCTGAAATGTGTGTATTTTAATTGTATTTTACCTATGAAGAATTTAAAGTACAAGTTAAGAATTGCTGTCGGTGCTTTACAGGTTGGCCACCTGTAGCAAAGCGCATTGCTTAGAATAATTTAAACTGAACACTATTGTGGTTTGGATCTCTTTAACTTGCAGTAAGGGATTGTGTCTGATTTTTACTTTTTATTTTTATTATACTAGGGATTATTAGTTACATTAATAAAATTATTTTGTTTTGGAAAAAACATACTGTCTGTGTCAATCATTTTATCAGGTCATATCTGTGTCCTTTAGTGTTTCCTTAACAACCTCACAAACTGAAACCTCAAAAAGGATAACTTAAGGGAGCAATAGGCAGGTCATTCTAGGAATCAGTTTTTGGGGTAACACCTCCACATGTTATGTAAAGAGCAACCAGGAAAATATTTTGCTAGCATATTGAAGGCACTTCTGCCCACCACCATCTCCCACTCCCTTAGTTTGTGGAGGACCTTGGTAGAATGACGAATCACAAGGAGTAAAATAAAATAAAAAAAGAATACCCTACCGGGATCCTGGTCCATGATTAGGGCTCCTAGGAGCTATGGTAATACAAACAACAACATCCACCTGTGGGTTATTATCGTGGATGACATTGCCAAATGTTTTAGATCATTAATGAGAACTCATGGCAAATGGATAAAGACAAACAATTTCTTTCCACCCTACCGAATGTACTGTCAGTTTAAGATGCTAAATGGGAAGTATAATTAAGTCATGCAAAGCAAAAATTCTTGTTTGAAAAATATCTATTGCCTTACGCACACAACACACATGAAAAACATCATTTCAGCAGTTCCTATGCAGTATACTCAATTTGAATAGAGTATTTACCGAACCATCTATGTTCTTGTATGGCCTCCATCTTTAGGGGCATACAATTTCAATGCAACTTAGTGTAGGCCAAGAATATTCCACTGTAATACAGTGTATAGTACAATTGGCACTGTATTCACTATATCACCAGTAGTTTAATCTACACAATGTTCAGAACATCCCATCCGGTAGGATGGTGTGTGCATGCCATTTCAAAATCTGTTGTCAAGGCATCAGCAATGACTGAAGATGAATGGTAATTGTGTGCTCTATCACCTGCTGTGTTCCCAGATGAAGACCAGAGGACCAGAGTCACATATGTCCAGGAGGCAAGTCACTGATTTACGAGTATTCCCCCCAACCTTTTTTACTGTAGGTGCTCAACTGAGGCCCTGGTATCAACCTGGACTAAACCACATTGTCCTCAATATGAAATGGTTTGGGAGAAGCTGGCTCCTTACTGTGGGTGGTTCCTCAGTCATTAGAAAGGAATCTGGGTATCTACCATTTGTTATGTTCACAACATACAAACATGAAGAACTCTTGCTGGAAGGTCGCAGTAGAAAATTACTTTATTTCTTAGAATTCAGAATGATAAACTTACAAGAACCCCAAAACAAAGAAACACAAAGCAGGCTGCTCCCTAAAATAGAGAGGCCACAACTCACTGCTACTAGACCCAGACCTCATGCTTCCCTGCAGAGCCCCTAGCCTTCAAGCAGGAGTAGGATACCCCCTGAAATTTAAAGTGATAGCTTGTAATTTTCACACAGTTTTCAATACACCACAGCACCCAAGCCAATTTCCCCCATTACCACTTCCACTTTTTTGGCAATATGATGGAGAAGATTAACAGAGACCTTATGGTGGCCTGGTACCAGACCACTGGAATGTAGATGCCATTGTAAATTATATTTACTTCTATTTATACAAAGGACTTGGGTCTGTGATTGTAGTGTAAATGTATGTGCATTTCTAAACACCGGGGTTGTGTATTTCAGAATAAAGAAGCTTGCAAAACAGTTCTGCAGCAGCTGGAGAAATAGTTGTCAAATAATTAAAGGTACAAAACATGGCAAAATTGCAATGTTTAACATTGCAGGTGTCTTTTCTCTGATTTGTTGTCTCTTCTCTATTTTCATTTCTACAGAAAGAAGGCTCTTCTGTGGAAAATCAGCTCTTTAAACCATGTTACTTTTGCAACTAGACTGGTGGATTACCTACATTCCTTTTTCTCAGCTTTCCTTGAATTTAATTGCATATTTCCTAGGAAAGAAAAATGTTTTCACTCACCATATACACTTTGCAGTTCTCAACAAGAGAAACTTATTTTTAGTACTCCTGTTCAATGCAATGTGAGTTTGGAATTAGTCAAAAGTTAGCTGACCATTGATACTGTATCTTAGGTGTTTCAAATTCAACATGCTGTTTGCACCACAGTTGACTCTTTGTAGTCCTTTAAAAAAACAACTTGTGAAATTAAAATGTATACACCATTTTTAATATATTAAAATACCTTTGAGGTTTTTATAAGGACAAAACTAAGTTTGTGATTGAAACAAATGTACTGCATTTAAATAACAGTTCCAGTACTTAATACAGTATGCTTTCAGTATTGGTGGAATTCAACGTGATGTAAATGTTTACTGAAATCAGAACAAAGATATGTTTGATGCAATATATTGCACTTACAGTAAATGTGTATTGTAAAGATATATATGTGAAGAATTTTCTTTCACAGAAAGTTATTTCCAGTTGAGCAGACAATGTCGATCATTGCATTATGTGGTATTTGGGATGTTTCTCTAGATTCATTACAGAGGTTTTTCTAAAGGGAAATGAGAAATGGAAAACTACTTACTACTGTTGCTACAGACAGATCTAGATTTTGTAGTTTACCCCAATGACATGGCCTGTATAAAGATGTGCATATGAAAAAAATATAATTTTTTCATACTACTGTCACTTATGTGTAACAATGTCAACTGTAGATGTAAAATGCTTCTAAAACTTGCTGTGACTGAATGTTTGTTCAAGGCATTTGAAAATCTTATTTTTCCTCTGGTAAAGTTTAATTAAAGAGTTATATTAAAACTTCCATGTTACAAGTACAGAGAACTCTATTATTTCTCTATTATTAGAAAATTATGTATAAAGTATTTCCTGCAAGTATTGCGTAGAGATATGGTACTTATTAAAAATTTATTTTTAAAAAAGACCATGAGAAATGCCTACCATATATAGATAATGATGAATATACGTGAGAAAGCTTGTTTAAATAAATCTAATATTTTACTTGGCGTTACTGTGTTCATTTCTGCACAGTGCAGTCAGGATCACAGGCTCGCTTTCTCCAGCTCAAACATGTGCGTAGGAGGAAGCTGCAAGAATTGCTGACATTCTGATCAGATCTGTCTGAGAGAGTCTTTGGGAATTGTTGATTGCAATCCAGGCTGTCCACTGGAGAGTATGTAGGTGTGTGTGTGGTGAGGGTGGGGGGCAGGTACTAAGGAAATTGACAAGTGCTGCTCAAGCTATTTAAAGGAGGGAAGGAGGTGGTGAAAGAAAATTGAAAGATTAAATAAACTTGCACCTTATTTGTAAGAACTACCAAAAAAATTACAATTACCTTAGGACTACAACAGATTATTAGAATTCCCATGGATAACCCACACAAAAATCATCTAAAATGCTAATTTACCTAAATTTCAAATGAAAGAAGATAACAATATCCACAGAGATAACCACTGGATCTGTAGATAAGAAAAAAAAATCAGCTTAAACTGAATCACAATGCATAAAGCTGCATTACCATACAATAACCTTGTATAGCAGAAATAGATACAGCAGCAGCTTTGCATGGGTCATAGAAATACTCTGTGAATATGGCACAACATGCCTCAGTATCTGGACAAAGACAGAAAATGTACCATGGCATAGCAATTCAATTAAAGTGTTCAAGGGGTATATTGGGGGTGGAAAGCAATGCTTGTTAGCCTTTATAACTTAAGTGATAAGTTTTAGACATGTGAGCATACTCTAGAGCAATCTCAATGGTGTGGTCTAATCTGCTACAATAACCGTTTTCATTAATACTCATTTTTTACTTGTGAGAAGTTGCTGACATAAATTGATGATGAAGTTGCTATGACCTTCACTGAACCTTAGCAATTCTCATTTGCATTCTCATTAAAACTGTGGTTTTGGTCTCATTTTTTCAAATCTATAATACCATCTTAGCCATGTCTTTAAAAAGCCTCTTTCAAGAGCAATTAATTCATGTCATTAAAAAGGTGTGTTTTATATATATTCTTATTAAAGAAAACATTTTACATCATGGAGGTACCAGATTAAAATGTATAATGTATGTGGTATTAATAATATAACATTTTGATAAAGTATTTTGTTCTAAGCCAAAAGGAATTAATGGTAAAATCTCATAAAACATAGGATGGTGATGATTTCATTACTGTTAGGGATGCCTGGAAGCTTTTCAGCAAACTTTCTCAAACTGTAGCACTCTTAAGTTAATATGTATCAATGTTAGAGTATTTTAACATGAACATGAATTTATTTAAAAACTGGATAGCATGCCCTGTCCTGTTAAGATGAAAGGCTTGGAGCTCCCCTCATGAGATCAAAGGGAAGACAGCTCTGGTGAGCAGGGGTAACCCTAAAAGAGTGTGGAGTGCTGCAGAGATATTCAGCAGCGGTAGGAATTGTGCAAGCTATTCTGGTTTTGTTTTAAGATACTGAGTTTAATACAGGTCCAGTTTTAAAACATTCCCTAGTCTGCAAGTGTAACAACTCCAAAAGCTTAAATAAAAAGTACATTGTCATGTGTCCATATTATCACTTTTGGAGTCTGAACAGGATCTTTGTGTCATTTAGAAATCTAGTATCGAAATCCAGAACCAGTATGCATAAAGACACATTTTCAAAATAAATCTATTGCAACATGCTGCATCCATTCTTAGAGGAAAGAAAATATTTTCAAAAAGGAGCACACATCTCCCATCTCCATCCTTACATTCTCAGTAATTTCCTGTCCCAGGTCCCTCGCTGTACATTAATCATTCTCAAGCCTATCTGACCTGTGCCAAATCTTTTAAAAAACATTGCTGCCCTGATGCCTGGTTGTGACATTCCCCTCTGGTGTTATGCAGACCAGTGATCTGCTAGGTTACTCCAATCCTTGACTCTGTGAGACAGCCTTACCCTGCTCTACTGTGAGAACCCCCACTCCTGGGCTGTTCACGCACAGCCTCATAAATACATACATGAAATTATAACCTATAACATTACTATAACATTACTGTAACAATTACTATAACATCACTATAACAACCATGCTCAGTGCATCGTGAACCTTCCGAAGACACCCAACATGATGAACTTTGCATTGGATATCACACACTCATTTTATAAAGATGAACGTGGAGGTGTAGGGGATTCCCCTGAGGTACAGAGCGTCACACTGGTAATGAAGTATTTGTTTGGTAGAAGGCACATATGTTATCGCTGGTGAAGTCATAAATGCTGATATTCTGCTTTCTGATACCGTGATATTATTTCCAAAGGGAATGAAAATCAGCCATATGATAAATCCAGTGCCATTATTTTGGAGGTACTCTCAAGTAGCACCTGTTTGCCAGATTTTTTTTATTCATTCTCTTATGCAGTGAGTAATCCAGAGGGTTCTTTCTATAATTTTAGAAGTACTTAAATATACCTAAACCCCACACTTTTAAACTGATTCTTATATTACCACAAGAAGAGTCAGCTGACAATAAAAATCTATTTAAGATTTTTTTATTCTAGCTGTCAATTCCTGTGATAAACTGAACATTGACAAAAATCAATAAACCAAGATCAGTTAATCTATACCAGAGCATCCTGCAACTA